ATCCATGCTAAATTTCAGAGCAGTGAGAGCATTTGGCAAACTTACTTTGTGAACTTTCCAATGTGATCCAGAGTTGCAGGTGGAAGGGACCCCTGTGGCTCAGATTCCATATGAAGTTTGGCAATAGCAAAGAGAATTTCATGTATGTTCTTCATGAGATGGACACATTCATCCTTGTTCTTTTTCACATTCTGAAAGGCCAGGTCAGTATGGCAATATGTGGGAGGCACTCTCCGCTGTTACCTGCACTGCAGAAAGTAAGTTGAAGGTTGTGTTTGAAATGGCCTGTATGAAGGGTGTTCCAAAACCATCATGGAGGTCATTCAAGAGTGGGAGAACAGCGTTCAAGGAGGCTACGATGCTACTGAGATGGATATCAGTAATGGCGGGTTCGCAGGGCATCTTGAGGGTGGGATGGAGGATGAATCCAGAGCCCAGGATGCTTATTTATATGCAGTGTTACTCATCTTCCCCATCAATACTGCGGGAGATAATCACCTTCTCATGGTATGATAGGTGGTCGCTGCGTGGCCCCTTGATACAGGATTCTCCTGATCAACATCATTCTGTCAGAAATAGTTAATCAGTGCAGGACATGCACGACGATACCTGCATTTCGTCTTCAGTGCTCAAATTTGTGCGCATTTGGATCCCTTACAGCTTACACAATGTATTAGATGTTTCAACGCCATTTTATATTAAAATACCTACTGAACCATGTGTTATTAACGTCTGAAAGGGTGGCGGGATGAAGGCGGGATGAGGCGGGGAGGGCGGGAATGAACGGGGGATGATGAGAATGGTTGATGGTCGTGAGGGCGCCATCCGTCAATGGGGCGTCCGTCTATTTTTGGCAGATCCGCTTTGTGGAAGCCGGCCACCCGATCAGGCCTTATGTTTCACGCTACGCTGAAACGAGATGGACCGCAAGCGAGGATTCAACGACCTGCGCGCATATTGCCGCCGAGCCGCCGTAGCGTCTCGATTCTTCGCACTGCGAGAAGAACCGTGAACCGAGTTATACGGCCGCCATGAGGCGCACACGCCGCAGTGCTCCGCCAGTACGGTGTCCATCATACCCGACCCGAGGGGTCCCTGGTTCGGTTGCATGTGAGGTCATCCCAGAGATCTAGAGGGTTTTTGATTTTGGCACGGGCGAGGAGCGGACAGTATCGTGTCGCGGAATTACTCGTTATGGGGAACATTACAATAACGAGGAAGCAATGGGCCCTGAATGAACGACTGTCGAATCTGTCCAGCAGAGCTTCCGTCATCAGGTTACCTGCGAAAGATCGTGCCATACAGAAAACGCGGACATGGAAGGAGGAATTCGAGTAGGAAAGGGACCGAGTAGCGAAAGGAATCGCACCCTCACCACCTGATTCTCGTTTGTGGCTTGTATTTGAGGGGAGTCCGGGGGCGAGTCCAGGCTAGGTCATCCAATCGACGTAATGCTTTTCATTTTTGACTCTGCGCAGGGCGATGCCGGGGCTGCTCTTTGTCGCGGAATTGCTGACTGTTATAGAGCATTATAATAGCAACCAGAAGAAATCAGCCAGGGCCACGAATAAAATTCGAGCGTCGAATCTACTCGCATCAGCTGCCGTCATCAGCTTACCTGCGGAAAATCGTCCCACCGTCCCGTAGTCCGCACTAGATCCTTGGCACGCAAAGCACCTGTGCATGGAAATTTCGATAGGAAAGGGACCTAGTAGCGAATGGAAAACGGCACAACGTTCAAGACACTGCCCGTCGTCCGAAACCGTTTGAAAAGTGGGGGGAATTGATTGGGAGCTCGAACTGCGAAGGGCAGCGCGGGTGCCCCGGGGTCCACCAGATTTCGGTTCCCAGTAATGCACCGGATTTCTCGCTGCGACTCGGACGAGCCGCGACCGACAGCCTTATTCTCTGCACAACCGTGCGGCGCACTGACAGGGGATCAAATGGAATAAATTCGACATTGTGATGATATTACATCCGACGCTGATTCCGCTGCAAAGGAAGCGGTGTTGGCGGGTACAGGTCCTCGCTGGGGCGAGCGAATGCGAACGCTCGAGGCGCCTGAGGACCGACGAGCAATTCAATCGGAATGAGGGATGTGAGCACGGAGGATGATCAAAGAGGAGTCAAAGGGATTCGACCACGGAGGGAAGACGAGGGGCAGATGACGCAGAGCGGATAGGCACTCAGGGCAGGCACAATGGGTAGCGGGTAGGGGCACAGCAGGGAGGATAAGGCCGAAAAGACAGATTGGAAAACCAAAAGAAGGAAAAAGAGCGAGGATTGAGACCCAAGGCAAGGCGGAAGAAGAGGAAGCCGCATGAATCGAACTCGCCTGAATTTTCCGGTTTGCACCAACTCGTCGCAAGCAAGTTGTGTTGGGCAAGGCGGATGCAGATCACAAGCGTGGAGAACACCAAGTGCGTCGCAGGACCGAGCGCGCGAGCAGGCGCACGGCGTCGGGAAGTCTCGGGACAGCGTCGCGTGTCGTGCGAGAAACACAAGAGAAACAGCACCCGGAGCACCCGGGGCCGGTGGGACCGGGGGAGAGTGCGTTCAGGGCAGCAAGGGAGGAAAGGAGCGGCGATGACCAAGCGACGACGAAGATGAGAGAAGTGGGTGACCAGGCGGGTGACGTAATCGAGCGCTCGCGCTGCCGAGTGATGCGATCAGCAGCCGCTCCTTGCTTCTGACGGTCATCGATCATCCTCAAACTGCGTTCACGCCGTTCAAGCCGTCGTTCTACCCTGCTCGGCTCCTTCTAATATATGTGCAGCATCTTCTGCTTCCGATTACAATCAAGCCTGGGCAGCTCAGAGACTGGGATCGTGAAGCTATTCAACTGGGACGCTCATCCGACTTCCTATTAGCACTGCGTCTCCCTGCTGCTCGTCATGAGGCTTTGTCTCGGACAATAGTCACCTCAGGAGTACCCTTCCATCGATTCTAGTCATAATGCAATCTTGACTACTTCCAAACCAGCTAGATATCTGGCGTCAGGGTACTCCACTTCCTGGATTTGTGCAGCGGCGGGACAGACGCGCTGCCCTCGGGCTTCATTACACCACCTCCGTCGTTCGAACGTTCTTGCTTCACCAAGGACCCGCAGCTGTGGTTAATTCAACTGTCGAACCAACTCGAGCTGAGGTAAATGCATCCTGGTTTATCTCGCTGCGCAGCTGGCTACATATCACGGATCTCGCCACCATCTCCAACGCTGTGGGGGACTTTTACTCTGAATGCGCGTGCATGTGCGATCTCAACCACTCCAGTGAGCTCGGAGCCCCCGCACAGGATGAAAAGATTAAAACGAGAGGACCCTGATATGACCAAGCCCGAATCGAACGGGAGATTTCACTTCCATTTTCAAGTGTCGCGAAGGGCTGCGGATCCCGCGGCGGACGTTCCGCTACCTGGGCTGTCCTACGCATACGCGGACCTCACGGACGAACGACTCTTTGCAATTTTGAAATGGCGCGCTCCGTCCGTCCATCTTGCAGAGATGGGCTAAAGCATAAACATTCCTTACGCACAACCCACGACCAGCCCCCGATTCGAACGGGGGAATCCACATGTATTCCTGGAAACGGCTAGGCTATATCGTGTGGATGCTGACCGGACAGTTTGTGGATGCGGACCATCCGCTACCTGGTCTGTTCCTACAGCCTACTCCTTTATTACTCCTCACCTCTTCAACCCACGGGGAACAACACCCGAGCATTTTGCATTGCCATGAAAGGGACTCGTTTGGCTTCCATCCTGTTGGCGTCTCCTGAAACTAGCTCGCAGGCACCCTCGGCGCGCGCATCAAGCCCCCGGCACTTTGCCTCCAGCGAATGGCCGCGCGCGAGCTTCGGATCGCCATCCAACACTTGTACTCGAGTTACAACTTACCCCACGTTCTCCCAGCTCGAGGTGCCCTACGCTAATTACTTCTGAACCCTATAACTCCCCTGGAAATGCGACAACGACACTGAAGCGCATGCGGCAAAAAAAAAAACAACCCCCGCTTCCAAATTGACCCAGTCATACTCCGATCGTTCTTAATTTCCACCGCATCTCTATGGCTTAGGTCTCGAAGTGAAGTGATACTGCCGGCTACTCATGCACTAAGCATGTTTTAACATATAGCTTGTCAACCGGAATCGGTTCTCATTCTCTCGGTGTGACTACTATTGCCAGCGTTCAACCCATATATGCTATCTCCTCTCCCCTTAATCTCATCTAATGGTCGCTGTGGAAGAGAGAGAAATACACAAACACCCAAGGCCATGGCCAGGCCCCGAGTCGAACGGGTACTCCCTTTGCATGCGGGGCCTCCGGTACCTGGTCTTGTCAGTTGGCCTTCGCCGATGACCGACTCCTTTCAACTTCCAACCCAGCCAATCGCGCGTTTTCCCTCCTTTCCAACACTGCTCTCCCTTTCTCAGTCCATCGCCCTCCGCGCATTTGCGCCGAGTCCCGCCACACGCCACATAACGCAGAAGACAACGGGATAAAAAGGTTTCTCGTCAATTCCACGACCAGGCCCCGAGTCGAACGGGGGACTTCACATGCACCTGCAAACTTCCAATTTATATCACGTGGATGCGGACCGTCCGCCACCTGGTCTTCCACACCTACGTGAGTCGTACCTAATGGTTGACTCTGATCAGCGCGCGACTGTGCATCCGACCTGCCAAATTATTATTGAGTGTGGAACCGCTGGGAGTAATTCTGCGCGGGGGGCCTCTTGCTCTGTCTTGGTTTTCTGAATCGGCGCCGACTTTCATGGGGGTTATTTGTCCCGGCGTTGATGTGGGATGTTGTGTGTTTGCGTGCGATGGTATAGAGCGAGCCTCAGAAGATCATGACGCTGGCGGGAAACAAGTAGACACATTTAGTGTCGAGAGATGAGTGGGTACGTGGTCCCAGTCCAGCTGCGTCGCAGAATAGTCTCAGCGCCCGCGCGGCATCTCCGCGTGCTAAACAACCTGGAGAGTGAATGTCAACAGTAATCAGACCTAGTGGCGAAATGAATCGCGCCCTCACTTGTTGAGGACTTGTCATGCGCGATACTCGAGGGAGTCCCTGGTTCGAATCCGGGCTAAATCGTAGGAAGTTTGGGGATTTTTGCGACTATGAATTCGGTCTTGAATCCTTCCAGCCGGGCTCGTCAAGATTTTAGTTGTGGGACCCGTCTAGCTTACCTAAATGCGACATGCCGCCCGTGAATTTTGGGGCTGCAAGCTGGGCCTCTGAAACCTCGGGGTCCAGTGTGCGCGCCAATAAGCAGTACAACGGGACTTTAACACCCAAGAGACTCGTCCGTCGATGAATGGTGAGCTCGAGGCAACCAAACATGCAGGGGTTCACAGTCCGCTAGGATGCGTTGGTTTGCTTGAAATGTGTGCACACAAGTGTACGTGTGAAGGCGCCTTGCAGCGGGAAGAAGACCTGGTGGCGAAATGAATCGCACCTTCACTTGTTGAGATGATTTTTTGTGTCGGAAATTGCACCATTAGTGAACCCTCACCGCGTTCAACATACCGCCGAAACGGGGACAAAACGGTGGTTGTTGGCGAGACGTGATTGGTGCGACCGGCAGGAAAGACGACTTGATTCACTCAGAGGTGATGTGACGCCGTGCGAGGAAGGAATAAATGGATTAAATTAGGCAGGGGTAATAGTTGTGCATCGCACGCCAATACCAGCCTGCGGACGAGGATGCACCGCTACCAGGATCCGCGCACGCTTCAAGGCTCGTCTGCTGCGGTGAGCAGCTGCAGACGATTAGCGAGTAATATTAGACAATGGATCTTACGCGCGGCGTTGAAGCCGCCCTAGGAAGCACCGCGCCCTACATCCCCGCGCGAGGTACGCACGGGGGGGAGCGGTGACGCGGATAGGCGCCCATCATGGATGCATAGAATGTGAGGGAAGAGGAAGGAAGACAAGACGGAAGATAAAGACACGTAATGGAGAGGACGAAAAAGAGGCAAAGGGAGAAAGGAAGAGCATGCGGGGATAGAACTAAGGACTGCTGGAGAAAATGAAAGCAGTATGGAGAAGACTCACCTGAATTCTTCGGGGTAGCAACAGCTGGTCGCGAGGAAGTTTTATACGCGCAAGACGCAGGGCGAGCGCGGGCGAAGAGGAGACTGGGCCCGCGCGCAAGACCAAGCGCACGGCGTCTGGGAGCGTCAGGACGGCATCGCGTGCGGGGTACGGTATGCCCTGCAAGTTGTGCGCGGCGCGCGGCACACTCGGTGGCGGGAATGATGCGGACGAACGGATGCACGGACCGCAGGAGCGATTGAGGAGACTGTTAGCCCCAGTGCCTGGACGGCACCGACGCCATCCACACGCGCGAGAGGAGCTACTCCGAGTCCGCAGCACGCTGTCTTCTCCTCCCATTCCTAGTCCTTGCATCAGTAAAAGTGCACGTTGGTCTTTGACGTCTTTAGTCTTTGAGATGTGTCTTTCCGCATCTTGGTCTTGAGGATCACATCTTTTGTCTTTGGAAAGGCATCTTAGAATGTCTTTGTCTTAGGTAAACATCTTGTGTCCTCTCGACATCTTTGAGGAAAGTATTGTGAGGTGAAAAAAATTGGAAGAAAGGAGATGTTAGACATGGAATGGTACGTGTACACGCTGTTGTTACTAGTACAAATCCACCAGTCCGCCGAGAGGTCGCGCGCAAGTCGCGCGCGTTGAGTCGGGAGGATGGATACTAAAATTGGAAACATGAGAGATTGTTAGAAACTGCGGAGCCAGAAGTCGACCAGAAGTATTCGAGCCAACTTGGCAGTCGGGTGACTGCATTTCACTAAGTAAGATGCGAGAAATGCCAATGTCGGTTGCGATGAGCGGAGACGTGAAGTCCTTCAAACTCCGCTCGGATCAAACTCCGAACTCCGGATGGCGTGATGATGGCAACGCCATCAAATGGTTGGTCGTCTCTCTCTCCTTCCCCCCACAATCCCCCAGCGCCCTTCCTCGTCAAGGCCTCCCTTAGAGCCTCCCCGGGTGTCATGCCTCATGCCTCAACACTCGCAAGGCCTCATGACTCAATCCTCCCTCGCAAGCCTCCCGACGGACCCGACCTCAAGCCTCGAAGCCCCAAACGTCGCAAGCCCAAGTCTCAAACGTCGCAAGTCTCCAGGCCGCAAAGCCTCAAGCCTCAAGTCTCAAGCCTCAAGCCTCAAGTCTTTCAATCCCAGCCTCAAACTCCCTGCTTTCACCCCGTCCCGTCCGTTGCCTCCCTTGCATGTGCCGGTCACTGTTTCTTGAAACCTTCCGCCGCTGAGTCGTCCTTGTTGTTCACATTTCCGCACTAATATCCCTCTCCCTTGACAGTCTCTCACGGCGTCTCGGCAACTCGCATGCACCGTCCGGGTCGCGCGCTCCCTAACTGGTATGTCGTACCGTTTGCACGCTCCCTCAGGCTATTCATGCTTGCGACCAGGTCGGCATACCCAATGATCCTGTAATGCCGCATGGTTCTGTCCAATGCGGGGTGCCCGCGGCCTTGTACTTGTACATGCTCTCCTCGGTTTCTGTGATATACATACAGTATTGGTTGCTTGTACCCATCGATCATCAATATAAACATCTTTTGCCCGTCTTTCAGTTATCTTGAGGCATCTTTCGTGGTTTCAATGCATCTTTAATGGAGTCCTGGGTAAGACATTCCCCATCTTAGCGGTCTTGCCCAAGATGCCGCATCTTTCAAAGATTTTTGAATCTACTTGGCCAAGATGCACATCTTGGGGGAAAATGCATCTTTGACGTCTTTGACGTCTTGCCCAAGACTCCAAAGACGCCAAAGACAAACATGCACTTTTACTGATGTGAGATCTTCTCTGCTGCTTGCTTTCAGTAATATTTCCTTCGTCCGCCGCGGACCCCAGCGCCAGCAGCGACGCAGACGACGGCGGGGACGGCTGCGACGACGATGAGTGCAAGAGGAGAGAGGTGGGTGACGTCATCGCTCGCTGACTCCGCTTGATGTGATCATCGGCCGCCTCCTTGCCTCCGACGGCCAGCTTCAAACTGGTTCGCCGTGCGGGGGTTCGTTCAGGATGTCACTCTGACCTGCTCAACTGCTTTTACCTTTCTCCGTTGCTTCTGCTGCAATCACGCCGTCGGCCCCTTGAGACTGGGCTCACGCACACCTGTGTCACTTTCAACGTCTGACTAGGCTCGCACTGCGCTTCACTGCCTCCCATTACGCTTCGTCTCGGACTTGGAGTGGCGGCGCCTTGCCCAGTACTCTCCGCCTGCTCTCCGCCTGCTGCTCGTGCCTGTGCCCCGTGGATGCGGAAGACGAGTATATATACCGTGCGTCTGCACCGCGCCCCATCCGCCCCTCCTTCCCATTCTGCTTCGTCCGCTTCAACGCCGGACTCGCCGACGCCCGAGCACGAGAGCGCACCGGCGCTGCGCATGAGTCGCCGCCCGCCGTGCTGACCATGACTCCCGCGCGCACGAGTCTGTACGCAGAAAGCCGGTACTCCTCCCCGTCGGACTCGCGCTCGAGTTCGCGCCGCCGGCCGGACACGACTTATGCGCATGGGGAAAGGGCGAAGCAGGCGTCCTCAGCGAGCGCGAGCGAGTGGTTGAGCGAGTCCGCGTCCGAGTCGGATTCCGCGGACTCGCCGATGCGCGGGGAGAACGCGCCCGCTTGGCGCCCGCGGAGCAAGCGCCCGAGCAGGCGGTGCGCACGCCATCTCTCTTCTCTTCATCGACCCGTATATCGGACGCTGAGACCTTACCTCTTAAGTCAACACCCCCGCGGCACCACTTCCGATTCCTGGCCACGTGGCAGCTGAGGGAGAGGGCACGAAGGCAACTGCGAGAGGGCTGGGGATCGGATTCTCGTGGAGCGATACGTGAGCCCGATGTATGTGCTCCCATTTAGTCAATCCTGGTGCCCGAATTCACGTATCTCAGTCTGTGCGTTGATCTCACGCGCAGCGCGGGTCCCTATGTATCTCCCGGCGCTCCCGCGTTCTCGCTCTCGCCCGCACATGTATCCACGACGCGCGCCCGCTCCCTCGCCTCTCCGATCCGACCTGCCACTCGCATATGTATCCCGCGTCCTATTAGCTTGCACGCACCCCTCATCCATGCACGCCAAAATGTTTCAAAATGTTTGAATCGATAGCCCTGTATCATCCTTATGCCGTGGGTTAATTACTAAATTACTAACTCGCGGGGCGTCCCGCCCCACCCTCCTTCTTCCTCCTAACCCCAGAATTTAGAGTAGACATAATCGTGCTGCAGCACCGTGACTCTTTCTCGTCTCGCCTTACTGGGACTTACAACCGCACTGGGAGCGTCGTCCGGGACTAGCGCGCTTGAGCGTGTCACGGTGAATTCCGGTGCAGTGAGTCAGGTGACTTCAGCGGAAGATTCGCTGCGCAGAAACCTGCGGCAAAAGACGAGTCCACTCTCGATCGAGATCGCTGTGCACCCCGATCTCCCCAATGCCGTAGGTTCCGTGCCCTTTCATGACCTCGATATATAACTTTGCTAGCCTGCGCACCCCATATCCCGTCGACATGGGCACCAGCATACCGTCCTAGTTGCGCGCGCCATCTCTCCTCTTCTCGTGTTCCCGCGTGTCTGACTGTTGCTCGTTTGACCCCGCAGGTGAACGGCGTTGCGATTCCCACTCCCGCGCAACCTCCTCCGACGGATTCAGAAGCCGACTCGAAAGCGAACGCGAATGCGCAGGGGATCGCATTCTCGCGTAGCGATACATGAGCCTACCTCGTGCTGTACCTCTGTACGTAACTCCCCTCCCATTACAATGCATCCCTGCGGAGACTCGACTGATGTGCGCTGAATTGACTGACGGATTTCTTCAGCAGGCAGCTCCGGCATCTATTCATCTCATCCTCGGCGCCCTCCCCCTCACACTCTTTCATGCTCGCGCGCACATATATCCATGACACCCGCCCGCTCGCACATCCATCCCCGCGCCCTCCCACCCGCCTATCCACCCGTCCGCACACGCTCAAATGTCTGACTCGGTAGAGCTGTATCACTTATGCGTGGATTACCTCCACTCGTATACTTAAGTTAGCCCTGGGCGGTGTCACCGCTGA